CAGATAATAAAATTTCCCATTTTCTAGTTCTGCMTGCTCTGACTTCTGTTCASAAGAGCTGTTTATGTTAATGAGCTCTGTTGGTAACGCCCTCCAWAAATCTGTTGACATTAACTCCGCCCTCCAAAGCCAGCGTTTACCTTAGCATGGCTAATAATAGCAGAAGCTTCGTTGTACAACCATATGAGACCCAGAGGCAGAGTCATGGTCCCAGCTTCTTCTTTTTTTCTCCCTCCTCTGCTCTGCACTCACTCTGCCTGCTGTTACCAGAGCAGGGAGCAGCAGCGGTCAAAATACCTCAGAAACTCAAACAAATAGGCTTTAACAAGGTTTTAATAAGCTAAACAATAGAGGTACATGAGAAAACGTGTTCATAACGAACGAAAATAAATAAATAATTAAATTGTGTCTGTGCCAGTCTCGAATCCTTGTCTCCCACTTTCTGGTCCAACACTCCACCCATTGTCCTATTGGAGGCTTGTTGTGTAATGAGCTGCACATTGCACAACAACACGGTGACGGCTTTTTATACTGAGGAGGTGGAGTCTCACCCGGGGGTTGCTAGATAAGGGGCTGAACGCAGGTTCCGGTGGGTTGTCGTACGGCTTGTGGCATCACAAAATGACAGAAGTATAAAACTTGTCGTTAATACACATTAAAAATACATTTACTTACAGTAAATATGCCCCTGGGTGCATTTTTTGGTCCTAGGACTGTTTTTTTAAGAAAGACATACCCAAAATTGAGTAAAAAAAACTTTAAAAAGTGAATTTTGCATAATAGGTCCCCTTTAAAAACATAATAATGTGTTTTTCTTTGTCTTTCTTGCCATACAGTAGAAGCTACACATGGACCAGCTGATCTGTGTTTGTCTCCTGTCCTCTCAAACCCCAGCCAGTCGAGGGAAAAGGCTGTCCTGTCCATCCTGAGCCTGGTTCTGTTGGAGGTTTCTTCATTTTAGAAGGTGTTCCTTGATAACTTCAACTAAAAGGTATGTGATGATGTAAATAAATGTTTTTGTACAGTGCCTCGACTTCATGTGAATTGGAGCTGAATGTATTCTCTGTGAACTCAAACCAATAGGCCTTCTCTGTCTTTGTTGTTCTGGTCTCTGTAGAAATAATCTGTTCGTCTCATCAGCAGGATGAAACCAGGAACAGTCGAGCAGCAGAAATTTGAAGGCAGCCAGGCATTTTGTAAGAAATGTTTCAGGCAGGACAGAACCGAGATGCATCAGATGAAGAAGCTGCGGATGCCTGTTCTTGTAAAGCCCCCATCAGGAGGCCTATCTGAACCTGCTGCTTGCTTCAAAACAAACCTCACATCTGTTCACGCTGCCAGATAACTCAGGGCTGACGCTTCTTTCACATGTTTTTTTTTTCTTTTTCTTTCCAGCAGCATAGGTTTCTCTTTGGCTTTCTGTGTGAACGACACTGTGTCTCACAGAGATGTGGTGTTTTGACATCAGTTTAAACTCCCAACATCATCTTCATCTAAACGCTGCCTCCCCTCATCCCACACTATGTTTTCCTAACTCTCTCCTCAATGACAGACTGAGAAAATGCATTCCCGGTTTAGGGAATTTCTTCTTTTTAGAGTTGATTTTTGAGAGGCTTTTCAAAGTTATGTAAAACACTGAAGGTGTTTTTATTTATTTATTTTTTTGGTTTGGTTCTGCAGTATGGTGAAGTTGCTATGACAACCCAGTTCCTGCAGATGAATCAAACTCTGATTTTGATGCAATCTATTTTTCATAGAATAGAGAATTTATTGGAAAGCAGAATATGGACCAATGAAAGGCCCTTTACTCTTTAAGTTTCTAACAGATTTTTATGTCTTAATTAACTGTGAGCAGATTTGTTAATTATTCTGTACAGCTGAAAAAAACACTTTCTAGTGATTTTCACAAGAATATTTACTGTGTGAAACTTATCTAATGAGAAATTAAAGAGATACTTTAGAAGCAGAGTGAGTGATTCAAATCAGATTATTAATCAGAGGACAATGTGACTGAGTTGTTTGTTGTTTTTGTTAAGTTTTATCTTAAAATCCATCAGTCTTTCCTACAAACAAGAATGAGGGCAGCTTAGGGCAATGATGGTGGGGGGTAACAGGGGGGCAAAGCCCCTCCATAGCTCCTGCATTTTAAAGGTTTTATAAGGGTAAAAAGGGTAATTCTGATGTACATGTCACTCATTACTACACAGTTTTTGAAACAGCATTTTTTTCTGTAAAGTGTAATGATCTGTGTTTTCTGTTTAGGGGTTATTTTGTATTTGACAAGATTTGTTTGTGGACATCAGCTCTGCACCATCCTTCCTGCTCTGCTCCAGGACAAGCTTTCTTTGCTCCATGCACCAGACTCCACCTGCAGGTGGATCACAGATTTCCTGACAGACAGGAGTCAGCAGGTGCGACTGGGAAAAGTTGTCTCGGGCACACATAAGCACAGGATCTCCACAGTGCTGTGTTCTCTCCCCTCTGCCTTTCTCCCTGTACACTAACTGTTGCACCTCCAGCCATGACTCCGTAAAATTTATTAAGTTTGCAGACGACACCACCCTCATCGGGCTCATCTCGGATGGTGATGAGTCTGCCTACAGGTGGGAGGTGGACCTGCTGGTGACCTGGTGCAGCAGCAACAACCTGGAGCTCAACGCCCAGAAAACAGTGGAGATGATTGTGGACTTCAGAAAGGCCACAGCCCCTCCAGAACATCCCGCCATAAGAACAGTTTCTTCCCCTCTGCCATCAGACTCTTGAACATTTAGAACATTTAGAACACGTGACTCTAAAACTCTGCCTTGGCCACTTTATCACTGGTTTCTTAAACAGCACAACTCTGACTATATTGTTTTTCTGGTCACTTTTATCTAACTGCACTACCCCAAATATATTGTCTGCTCCGAATACTGTATTGAACTGATGTACACGTTTTTTATGTTTTTATTATATTTGTTCTTTATTCTTTGTATTTTCTTCTTTTGTTATATTTGATACCTTTAGCACCTTTACACCGAAGCAAATGTGAATCCTGTTTATTGACGATGGCAATGAAACTGATTCTGATTCTGATTCTGAGATTTTGTATTTACTCAGCTTATTTCTGTTTTAGTATTTCTAATTATTCTGTCCTCCAGTACAGTTCTGTTGGGCCACTCTCTGCACAGGTGTTGCTATTTTGGGTAAATTATTTGGGCTTTATGTGTCAGTTGTGGCTCACTTTTTGCCCTACAGGTTCTGCTCTGTAGTTAGGCTGTCTTGACAGCATTTTGTTTTGTTTGGTCATTAAAGTAAGTTTTATTTTAAGAAGATAAGAGTCTCTGTTTGACTGCACTTTGGGTAGAAAATCTTCACCAGCCATGACATAAACAATCAGAGCCAATAGTTTCAAACTGTCCGCCTGAGTGTGATTATAACGAGGCGTCAAAACGTTGTGTGGAAAATTGGGTTAGGAATCAATACAAAAGAAATCAGGGGAAAATTATTATACTGTACATGTGAGTAGTGATGGATTTGTGACTTTTGGAGAGGATATTATTTTCTTTTCCAGTCAGATGGTGAGTGAATGCAGGCTATGAGATGCAGTCAAACATCTGAAGATGTCCTCCCAATCTTTTTTTGTCCACAAGATGGGACCGAACTTTATTTCTTTCTTTACCTAAGTGTTCGTGTTTCCTCTCCAGTTAGGGTTCCTCTCCATGGCTGCAGTGATCACATCATGTAGTTTAACTTTCGTGATGTTAGTTAACAACCACCTGTTTCTAAACAAGTAATGGATCAGAGAAAAAACATGTTTGTCTTTAATTCATTACATGAATATTCTGGAATTTTTTTTAATAAATGCAACATTATTGCATTGAATTTAAACTTTTTAAGGGAGTTTCCTAATTTTATCTTGGCATTTCAATGGGAAACTTTTTGAACATGAAATCTGATTCAGTAACAGACACAAAAGATATAAAGGGAAAATGGGAGTTAGAAATGATGAATGTAATAATCAGAGATGAGGATTGGGAAGAGATGTTTCGGGAGGGTCACAAAATAACAAGTAGTCCAACGTTAAGAGAATTTGATTGGAAAATCAAAAAGAATTTCTTTAGGACACCTCTTCTCACATATGTATATGTATATGTATACGTAT